TTTTTTAGATTTAGTCCATAATCTTTTAATTATTCGATTCATATTTAGTCATTAAATCAAGAGAATTCTTAATTTGGTCCTTGCTCTTGCTTGAGGTTTCAATTTAATTATTCGAATCGTAAAATTAATTTATATTAGTATTAGAGTCTCCATTTAGAATAGATTTCAATATAGTCTTTTAATTTAGGGAATAATTCGAGTTGGCCCTCGCCTAAATGTTCAAGAGAGCATCTCGATTATTCAATTCAATAATTGATTAAAATCAAATAGGGTTAATATTAGAACCTACATTTCTAGGTTTGTGTTTTTAGGTTCTTTAATTCGCATAATTTGACATTTTAAGCTAGAGAAAACCTTAATATACCCTTAGTTTAATTAGGATTAATAAAATTGTTTGATTACATTTTATTTTAAAATATAAGTCAATGTTCACTTATTAGAGATTCGATAGTATATCTCTCACACATATGCTCAGGGGTGACTACTAGTGATTCCCGAAATAGGTCGACATCCTTTTCAAGACCACATCATGATTTCTAAAATTAAGGTAATGTCCGGTTATTGGACACAATAGCTGATCTCCCGTATTCATGCTAGGGGGCGAATGTTATCAGCCTTAATAAACGAATACCCTTTTCAACTTTGCATCCATAATGATTTTTTAAATTAAATAAAGTTCGACCTCAAAATTTCCGATTCTAAATATAGGGTAATCAACTAGGTACCAATTTTTGGGCGCTTGTGGGGGTGATAATCATTCCCCACGCGTAACCGACCCCCGAGCCTGATTTTTGGATTTTTGCGGACCTTAAAACTTGATCTTTTGATAAAAATAAAATGTTTTATTAAAATCACCCCGTTTTATGGTGTCCCAATCGCACCTTAAATGATTGGTGGCGACTCTTCGTATTTCAAAATTCTTTTCAAAGAAAAACCCTCAAATCGGTTATGATCTTTCCCCGCCTGGGTAAAAAACGGTGTCACAACACCGAAGGTAGCCAATAAAATTGATAGTGCCCTATACTCGCATTCCTAATCTGACTGCAGCTCTTTTATTTCAGCATCATAATGAGTTTTAACCATATTATGGAACAATTGAAAAGCCTGAAGCCTTTGATCTTTCAATTTGAGTAAGTAAACCCAACAGTGTCTGGTACAAGCATCAACAAAAGAAACATAGTATCGATACCTATTCGATACTATATGTGTAGACCCCCACAGATAAGAAAAAACAAGTTGAAATGATTTGTCATAAACAGTTGTAGACTCATGAAATGAATTTTATGACTTTTCCCCATTCTGCAAGCTACACAAACTGTACTTTTTGTTTTATTAATATGATAAGGAAATTCAATTCCAATTTGTTTACATTCGTAGGGTGCCCAAGCCTCTTGTGCCACAACTCATATGATTCAATACTATTATTTACATTTGCTTCTACATTGTCTATGTTACAGCAGTTCTTATTCTCTGCAGCAAACTGATATAAGCTTCCACATTCACGTCCTTGCAATAAAACCTCTCCAGTTCCTTCATCTTTCACCAGGCAGTGATTTGCATGGAATTCAAAAAATTCCATATCTTTCTCTAGCAAATTTTGAGACAGATAATAGATTCTTAGTTACAGTGGGAACATGAAGTAGATTGTTAATAAAAAGAGCTCGTGACTTAGTTTCAAATTTAGAAAAACCAAACCTGCGTATATCTAAACAATGCCCATTTCCCATAACTAACTTACCTGGGCATGTGCAGTCTGAACCATTCACCAACTTTGCTGCATCAAGAGTGACATGGTGAGTCGCCCGGAGTCAACCACCCACTTTTCTGAGTTCGAAGACACGACATGTGTCTGAGCATGCACATTATTGTTGCAGGAATAACACTCACTATCAAGCACAATAACATGCACTTTGGAAGTCTCATCCTTATTAGCCAAAACCCTAGGGAACGACTGATCAAAACGATGCCAACAACGATCAACTGAGTGGCAAATTTTCTCACATAACTGACACTGCAACTTTGCTCTTCCACGACCCCAAGCACCTGATCTTCCTCCAGTATACTGTTGTTGACTAGGAAACTGATTTCCTCGACCATTGTTCTGTATATAAACCACATGCGTACTCATAGGAAGCTGAGCTTGAGCATGAAACCCCTTAATTTGTGCTTCTGCATCTATCAAAATGGACTTCACTCCATCTAGCGTGAAAGCATCTTTGCTTGTTGTGATAATCGTCATGAAAGGTTGGTATTCAAAAGGCAATCCATTTAAGAGAGTTTCAATCTGATAAACATAAGAGATTCCACTCATACACGCCGATAAAGTATCACACACTTCTTTAATCGAAGTAAGGTAGGACCTCATACTTTCATCCCCCTTCTTGATAGACCTCAGCTTGCAGTGTAAACTCATCACACTAGTAGTCGAGAGATTGGAGAAGAAATGCAACCCCGTGGCCCAAACTTCAGTAGCCGTCCCAACAAATTATGGTTAAAGATGATCACTGGTAGTAGACAATAACCAAGATGCCAAAGCACTATCCTGTTCTATAAAAATCTCTCAGTCTTCTTTAAGAACGAGATTATCTTCATTATCAAGAACCTTCTCTGGTGGAGATCGAAGCTCACCAGTGAGCAACCTCTCCAAACGATGGCTACGAACATTTAGAAGCACATGTTGCTTCTAAAGAAGAAAAGTTCATCTCATCAAGCATAATGTTGATCCTTTTGTTCGTAAACAATTTGCCATGCTTGGACGTTTCTTCAAGATCAAGACTCTGCCCAGTACTAACGATGGCCATGGCAGAAAGCAAGAACAAAAAAATAACAAGACGAACAAGAAAATCACTTTTACGAGAGCAGGAAAGCGAAAAGAAATGGCTATAGGATCAAATGGCGACTGTTACCATAATGAGAAACCAAGTTTTGATGAAAAGATGAATCAATGATGTTTTTGATTTGAAAAGCTTACTTTTACAAGACTGCTCAACCACTCATAGATACACATTGCATTTTGATAAATTGAAACAAACTGACTCAACAATAATTAGTTTTAAAGAACTAACTGACATGAATGCACGGTGAGTTGGCAAGCTATTGGCTATATTCAACAATAACCAACCAAAATTTTTGAAGAAATCAAAAACCTATTGAGCCTACTTGCTATTGCTGAACCGCCCCCTCGAAACCAAGTAAACGAGCATCCTTCAAGAGGGAGGTCTATCTGATTCCTTCCCTGAATAAAATCCGAAAACACATTTATAGCCGACGAACATATTGGGCCTTCGTATTTCTCATCCTCATTCAACACTATATTAAAATCCCCCTCCTATGATAATAGGGATCCCAAGCTTCATAATTAATTCTTCCAACTTCTGGAAAAACTCTCTCCTCTCTATGTGATCATTCCGGCCATATATGTTATAAGCCCCGCCTTTAAATCATTTTTGCAAAAACCAACTTTCCAGAACTACAAACCTTTTGTCCAAGTGTTTTCTTTTCATCGAAAAGAATTCCTTATCCTAGAGCAACCTCTCGAAGCCTCTTCATAAAGAACAGAGACACACCCGCTAAAGTTATTCCCTTGAAGGTGCTTAACAACCATTTTGTTCTCTGAAGCCAACTTAGATTCTTGGATGAAAACCAACTTGGCTTTACTAGCAAAAATTATCCGACTGACAGCTTTAACCTTCTCTCTTTTACCCAAACCACGAACATTCCAAGACATCGCAACAAAATTCATAATTAGTAAAATTAACACACAGGTGGAGGTTCAGCGATCAAACCAAAGAAATTAACTCCTCGCTACAGCCTCTATCATTTGAAGCCTCCCAATAGCCACATTTGTTGCCTCATTGAACTCCACTCCAAGCCTAGATCCAACATCATATGTAGCTTCGGCCTCTGTTGCATTTCCTTGGCAGTTAACAGTTCTAGTAGATAAGTTAACACTACGATGGACTACATCTTCATTGTGTGCATTCTTTTACCTTTTAGTTTCTTCTGCCTCCTCCTTGGAATGCTCATCTCTTTGATTTGCGTCGAACCTTAGGCTCCATTAGTACCACCAAAAACAGGGCTTGATATAGGAGTCACAATCGAAATCTTCTGAGCTTGGTTTACCTGTTGCATCTCAACCAAACCACATGAAGGAACAATAGTGATTTCATTAACAACATTTATAGGGACATCTAGTAATCTCGATCCTTCCCATGTGTGGTATTAATTTGTGTTATGAGTTATTTCTATCAACTTATTTGTTAAGGACTTTAAACGATTTGATAAGTTTTTTTTATATCTAAGGATCACTTCGATGACCAGTGTGGCTTCTTGGGTTCGGTTATAATTTCTAAACTGAGTCTCAAATATTACCAAACAAATTTACCGTTGAAAGGTAAAAACAAAAAACAAAAATTTGAAAAGTAAAAGTAAAAAACTATATATGATTAACAAAAGTTTCAAAATAAAAGAAAATAAAAAAAATAAAACCAATACTCCCTCATTTTCATTAAATTTATCCCTTTTGAATATTAAAATTATCTAATACAAAATATTTTATTAGAAAAATCAACAAATAACAATACTCATATTTCCGTTGTTATCATTCGTCAAATTATCACATCAAAATAAATTTATCAATAACTTTTTTTAGAGTAATTTTGTCATATTTCTTATTTTGTATGACTTGATATTTGATTAAATTGATTTTTAAAATTATGTATTAGTTGAACTGCATTATTTGAGAAATTCAGCCATTTGATCAATATCAGACAAAATTAATAGACTAAGGAAGTATAATTTATAAGAAACAAGACAAAAACTTTCAAATCATCTCTTTGATTCTTGTTAGATTTGGATTGACTTTACTATCGATACGTGATGAAAAAGAATATATATTATTGATGTGGCATGGGGCACGCAACATAGTGCATAAAAAATATTTAGCCATACTAATCATGAAAAAACTTCAGTATACAGTAACCTTCCACCTCCATGTATCTGTTTCAGACTTTCAGTCTATAAATTCATAGGTATGATGTTTCATGGCAAAACAAAAACACCTTAGCTAAGATGGATAGGGTTCATGTGAATGGACAGAATGTGAATGAGCTTCTTCAAGATCAAGCTCACGTTTGGAATCACATTTTCAACTTCATAAATTCAATGTCCTTGAAATGTGCTGTTGATTTAGGTATCCCAGATATCATTCACAACCATGGCAAGCCCATGTCTGTCACCGAGTTGGTCGCTGCACTACCGACTCTCCACCCAACGAAGGCATGCAACATGTACCGGCTCATGCGTATTTTAGTTCAGTCGGGCTTTTTTGCCCGACAAAAGCTAAGCGATGAATCCCAAGAAGATGGTTACGTTCTTACCAGTGCCTCTCGTTTCCTACTCAAAGATGATCCCTTAAGCTTAGCGCCTCTTGTGGAATTTCTGCTGGATCCTATGTTAACAAAGCCTTGGGATTTTCTTTCCATTTGGTTTCAAAATAATGATCGTACCCCATTTAACACCGCACATGGGAAGGAATTCTGGGAACACGATTTCTGTGGCACAAAGCTCATCGATCTTCTTAATAAAGGCATGGCTAGCGATTCTAAGTTGGTTATTAGTGTTTTGATTGATAAGTGTAAGGGCCTATTTGAGGGATTGAATTCATTGGTGGATGTTGGAGGTAACACAGGAACAGTGGGCAAGGCAATTGCTGATGCATTTCCACACTTGGACTGCACTGTGTTTGATCGTCCTCAAATCGTTGATGACCTACAAGATACTGGGAACTTGAAATATGTTGGAGGCAACATGTTTGAGCAAGTTCCAGCTGCAGATGCTGTTTTACTAAAGGTTTTCACGATTTTTCTGTCGATCATCTCTTTTCTAGATATTTTTTATTATTCAAAGATTAATGATTTTTGTATTGGTTAAACAGTGGGTATTGCAGGATTGGAATGACGATGAATGCTTGAAGATTTTGAAGCAATGTAAAATAGCTATTTCCAGTGGAAAAGAAGGAGGGAAGGTGATTATAATAGACGTAGTATTGAAGAATGAGAAAGTGAATGATGAAGCTTTTGACTTGATCGAAACACAGCTCCTATATGATATGGCGGCGATGGTGGTGGTCGGCGGGAAAGAGAGAGAGGAGGAGGAATGGGCTAAGTTGTTTTTGTCTGCAGGTTTTAGTGGCTATAAAATTTCTCCTATTCTGGGTATGAGATCTATCATTGAGGTCTTCCCCTAAATAAAAGTTGTAACTCTTTCATGCTTGCTTGTTTTGCATATCTTTTCCTATTTCTATTTTCTACCATCATTTATCAAACAAAATATTGCTATTTTTTTGAAAGTACGCAAACGGTCATTCGACAGTAAGGAAATGCTTTGTTCAATCCCTAGATTATTAAAATTATAAAATGATTTCTCGACTATTAAAAGTTACAAAACTTTCACGCAACCATCCATATGTTCCAAACTCATTATTTTCCATTAAAACATTAGCTGTCGTCTAAGTTAGATGTTAACTTGTTGATGGGGATATGATAAAATTTGATCCTAAAATCATGAGCGATATTTTATGGATCCATTTATATTATATTATTGAGTCAGTGCTTGAAACATTATGTCGTCAAACTAGTGTTTAAAAGCAACGATGGTTCCAGTAGACATCATCAGAATATGGTTTTATAATATCCTAGTCAGCAAGTTAACGTTTAGCTCAGACGATCTTCAATTATTTAAAAGAAAAGGATGAGATTTATATTATATTATTGAGTCAGTGCTTGAAACATTATGTCGTCAAACTAGTGTTTAAAAGCAACGATGGTTCCAGTAGACATCATCAGAATATGGTTTTATAATATCCTAGTCAGCAAGTTAACGTTTAGCTCAGACGATCTTCAATTATTTAAAAGAAAAGGATGAGATTAGAATATATGAGTAGTCGGATGATCATTTTTTTTAATTTTCATAGTCGAGAGACTCAACAAAACAAATGCCCTATAGTCAAAGGATCAATTTGTAACTTTTAATAGTCATGAGACTCAAGAAAGTAAGTCCCTATAATCGAGGGACTATTTGTGTACTTCACCCTTTTTTTATGTAAATAAAGCCATTAATTTTATTGAAAAGTGAAAATATTTAAAATTATAAAAAAGTTCGTAAATTAAACATATAATTGTAATATTTTTTATAATTATCGACGCAATTAACTAACTACTCAAGATTATACAAGAATCATATAAGGAAAATATTTAAAACCATCCAAAAAACTCAAACAAAAACAAAAGATGTAACACCTAAAACTTGTATAATTATACCTATACAGATTATAGATGTCACCTGAAATTTCGTAAAATATTTTCCAATTCAAAATGATTTAATTTTTTTCTTAAAATGGTAAATGATATTATAAAAATATCATATCATATCATATCATATCATATCAAATTATCACATAATATTTAAAACATATATTAATATGGATTTATGCTATCCATATTGAAACATAGTAAAACAGTTTAGTTTAACCATTACAAACCATTTTTCAAAATAATTCAACAAAGCAACTAGGACATTAATAATTACGTGCCACTAACAAAGTCGAAATTACATCATAGGATGTCGTACTGATACTGTAGTATATTCCTTGATGCTTGGAGTGCTTTGTACTCTTTACTCTACTCTTGGCTTTTTACCTACGCGTGAAAATCAACACACGCGTGAAAATCATCACACGCTAAGTATATACGTAGTGAGGCAATTTAAAGCAATAAACAATGCAATACAACTCATGCATGCAATTTAATATCATAAACAAATGCCATAAGATCAAGTTACCTTCATGTCCAATATTTTTACTATAATCAACATGATATACCAAATATAAAATTTCTTACCAATATACTTACCATTTATCCCATAAGCTCGTAAGCTTATTTGTATGTTTATCATTCATTAACCATTAAACCATAGACTATAAACCATAAACCATAGCCCAATATAAAACCCTGATGACCCTGGGTACACGAGTCAAATATATGCTCCGTAATACAATCCCGAGTATGACACATAAGGTTGTGCCCACCATCTGTACTAGGTATCCTTAAGTACAGTCCCAAATATGACACATAAGGTTGTGCCCACCATATACACTAAGTATCCTTAAGTGTAATCCCGAATATGCAGCCTGCTGCTGAACTCTATCGCATGCCAACTATACCTTATCCCTCAATGACTTACTTGGACATATAGTCTAATTCATTTATCCATGGTATCATATAACCATATATTTAACATTACGACAGTTCATACCCAAAATAATATCCATGGTAAAATATAAAATTATTCATGATCAATGCATTATAATTTCACAGTGTGACATATCAATGTCATATCGAAGTTATACAAATGACATAATATCATGTTGATATAAACAAGGTCGACTTATTGCAAGTCTTCCTGATAATGTATAAAACATCTATATACATGATGTATAAAATATCTATGTACATGATGTATAAAACATCTATGTACAATGTCATGCATGTATTGCACTCACCTTGACACTTTATATATTCCAAAATATGTGCCTCACTATGATCCACAATAAATCCTTTTATACTTAACTTGCTTCGATCACAAATCAATCACGATCTGTATCAATCACAAATTCATAACGATATATATGTTAGTATTGTACTAACATAAACACATCCCCAAAACAAAATCCATAATATACTTGAAACTCATTTTCTACCAAATACTTAACACTTAATAATTCATTTTAATATTGGCACCAACTTTTCCAATTTACACAAAATGGTCCTACACCATTTTATCACTTAGATTTTAATACAAAAAATTCCAGTACTGAAATTATTACCAACCAAGTGTTTTTAAAAATGTATAATTACATTTAAGCACCCCAACTATGTGAATATTGCACTTAAATCATCAATCTTTTCAAACTTCCAAAATGATCATATTTCACATCTAAACACTCATTTCAATTCCAAAACAGTAATTTCCAACATAGTACATCAACTATTAGGCAATTATACAACCATTCACAACTTTCCATAATTGCCAAATTGGTCCCCTAACTTTTCAAAAATTACAAAATGGTCCCCAAATTTTTCTAAGGCTTGTATAATACTTCCGAAATCATTTCCAGACATTATATAATTTTCCATAATTGTTCTCACTCAAATACATCATAGTCGAATGTTTTATTCTTTAAAACTATGTTTTCATCATTTTTGCTCGATTTTGATTCGATTCAAGCATGAAATCAACTTCCAATCAACCTTATAACATCTATACAATCAAATCCCTAATCAACTCTCATCATAACACAAAGTTTCTCCAACTTATAATTTGGACAAATTTTAAAAAATAATTTCTAAGAAGATTGAATATGTTTTAACCATAAATCAAGCTTGAAAATGAATCTACAACCTCAAAAACATCAAGATTCATCATCAATTTCATGAACCCTATCATGAACATAAACCCTTATATTTGGGATCTTTGAATTCCAGCAAGATTAGCAAGCAATATTGGTACAAAATGATAGCGTTTTTCGCGTAGAACAATTTTCTATTTCACAGCATAACCTAAAATCCAAAGAAAATTGCTCAAAAATGGAAAATAAATATTTTTCTTGACCTCAATGCTAATTCACGGCAAAGGGAGGAGCTGATGAACAACTTAGCATGATATTTTTTTTATTAATATCATGCTTATCTACCTTTAATTTAACTTTAATGAATTTTAAATTCATTAAATTGGGAAAATACCAATTTACCCTTAATGAAACTTCATAATCACCATTAAACCAAGACATCTAACCTTATCATCTTCCAAAATAAGACACCTCAACCTTATCATCTCCCATTAGTCAAAGATGATCAAATAAGATCTTAGTTTACCGATTTGCCCTTGCCTTTTTCCAAAAATCACAATCTTACCACTTTAATCCAACGGTCCAAATTAAACATAAAATTAAATCATGAAATCCAAAGATTTATATTATTTTCCAACATTTAAAAATTTGAAAATAATATATATTTTTATTTTCGAGACCAATTGTAATTTTTTAAAATTGCCATTTTGGTCCCTAAACTTTTTTAAAGTTTATACTTTGGTCACCAAACTTTAAAAATGTATAATTTGGTAACTCACTAAATCCATTTATGCAATAACATTCTTTTGGGAAAATTACCACTTAATTCTTTAAACTTTTCCCATTTTTCTACTTTGACTATCAAACTTTCAAAAATTTGTATTTTGGTCATTATCTAAATTTTTAGGGTATTACAAAAGACAAATACGAACAAATTTGAATGCATTAACAAATGAATCAAAACAGGAGATTAAACTATTAAAAGATGACCAAAAACCATAAATCAAAATAGAGCATCGTAAGAAAATTATCTACGAACGCAAACCACGTATCCAAGTCCAATTCTAGGGTCTAAAGAAAAAATCAATATGATAAAAAATAAGCATATAAGTGCGGGGATCTAAAGTGTTATTTCTCCATTAAGGAAAAACATGACAAATTTGGGAGGATTTTTAACTGATTCATGTGGGCTTCTAGGGTATTTTTAAGACCACATTTTTCTCATCTTATTCATAACTCTTCTCTATTCCATACCATTCTTCTTTTTCTCTTCCTCTCCACTCAATCAAGAATAAAAGAAAAAGTCTTCACTTTCTTCATCTCTTTCTTTAATTCAAAAATATAGAGGTAAAATTCTTAATCTAAAGTTCTTGAGCTTCATGAAAAGCTCACCATATCCATAAATGGTGTTCTTAAGCTCTTATGAGGTTTTGGGAGGATTTGAGCTTTAAAGACTCATCCAAGGATTTCTATATGATTTTCATGTATCATAGTCGTTGTATAACATATATTGTTCTTCATTTTCATGTTGAAATCATTTGGTACTTTTGAATGGTGGAAGAGTGGTGTAAAAACCCCCCAAAGAGAAAAGAATTAGAGGGTTGATTCTTGGAGGATCTAGAAAGGTATTTGGGTAGCTAAGAGCTGAGATAACACACTATAATTCTTTCTTGCTACTTGGATGTCATCTAGATGAGTTTGCTTGACTGTGTGGGGTGGAAAAGCATGTGGGGGCTTGGGTGCTTGATTTGTTGTTATGAATGTTTTGGACATTATTTTATTGTAAAATGATGTTTAAGAACCTCTAATAACTTCCATAAGGTTTAATAATCAACTTAGACCTTAGAATAAGCATTT